CTATCAAGATTGTTTGTCAAGGTGTCATGACTCATAATCTAGTGATCAAAGACTTGACAAACCTGGGACTCATATGTCACAGATAGATCAGGTGACAGGGAATAGATCAGAAGGATGAGAATAATAGAGACCCTGACACTCTCATCTGACAAAAATCATCTCCTCCATACAAAGGTCCTGTATCGAATCAGCAGAAAAGATTAGGTATCATTTGGTTATGGCTAGAGAGAGAGAGAGGACCATTGTACGGGGGAGATGATTTTCTGATGTAACCCTTATATAGATTTCATGAGAATTCTAGAGGCTTGGATGTCACCCTTAATGTCACTTGGAAGACTTGGGACTGGGAGAACGCTCTGTCATGAATACCTTGTATTCTTTCATTTATATCAGGTGATACATATTCTCTTCTACTTCCTCCATCCCAGATTAATTCTCATACTTTGACTTTCCATGGAGTTTAAGAAAAATGAAATTGTGTGGTTGAAAGTGATCCAAAGGAGAGAAAAGGTGAGCCACAAAAAACTTTCCAAAAAAGGAAAGAGGAAGATTAATTTGGGATAACCCTAAAATGGATATAAGGAGGATTAATAAATAGAAGAAAATATGTATTTCCTGATATACTGAAAGAATACAAGGTATTCATGACAGAAAGTTCTCCCAAGTCTTCCAAGTGACATTAAGGGTGACACTCAAGCCTCTAGAATTCTCATGTCATGTGTCAAGAATTATTACTTAACAGCTATTAAGAGCAGTATCACAAGGTTATTATTACCAGCTCTCCTGTTGCACCTCCGTGCAATCAGTGTAACATCAATTACATCTCTCCCAATGGACGATTGAAAGTTGTTAAAACCTGGGATTAACTAAGGAATACATTTGAACAGAATATAAACTGAATCCTTAATAGAGAAATTGAGTGAAAATATTAAGGTTGCTCAAAGAGTTCACATCAAGAAATTTAGTCATAAAAAGGATACTCCCCTGGAGAACAGGCAGCAAGAATGGGTCAAGCTGTAAAAGGAAAATTGCATATTCAATGAGTTACAATCTGGAAGAAGATTGAGACAACAACAAAATTATATTAAATCGGACCTTGTTATCTATTAGCACTTCCATCATATAGTTGTTCCAAACAAATCGAGGGTCAGCCTGCACAAATAGTGAGCAAGTTATTACATAACATATTAACATCAAGGTTTGAGGTCATACCCAAAGAAAGCCATGCAAGAAGAGTAATGGACAAGAATGGCTGCATGAGATTCTAGCTATAGAACTAAATTATTTAACAAAGGCAGGTAGAAAGCTTACCTGTCTCCAAAGAGGAAGTAGCTTAGATTCTTCACCCAAATCATGTAACCGTTGAGCACTGCAATACAAATAGAAGTAAAATACTGTACTCAACTATTGAGGGAAGAAAATGGAGAAGAAAATACTCTTTTATACTCTCTCCGTCCACTTTCTTTCTTCCCACTTTCCTTTTCAGGTTCATTATCTTTCTTATCATTTCCAAATTTGGTAACTAAAAGAAATTAAAATGTCTATTTTGCCTATTGAAATTTAAGGTCCACCCAACCCATTTAAATCCTACTCTAATCCGACCTACCCACCCCACCTCTTCAAGAACATTAACATTATTTGCTCTTACTTTTCAGTGTTGTTTTACTTTTCTTCACGAGGTAAAATGTCTTCCGATCCACCATTGTTCCTCATGAACAGCACTAGTAAGGTATGCATTCACCATTTTTTATTTATCTGTTATTTTTTTACTTTCCCTTTTTGAGTTTTAGGAAAAATAATTGATTTTGTATTTTTCATAGATCTGGGTTCATCCATGGCCGAATCAGCAGATGATGACAAAAGACGATGAATTGGTGACCATGGCTTGAAGATCGAGAAGTGATCTTGATGACCCATAGCTGTTATTGCTCCTACGCCTGGATAAGATGTTTAATCATTGTCCTTGGCTTCCACTACGACCTTCAACTCTGGATATGATATTGAAGTGGGAATATGAGACTTGATAAAGTTGGACGGATATATGGTAATGTTTGATAAATTAGATATATGACACACCCTCCCCAGACCCTACTTCCGTGGGATTCCCTTGGGTTGTTGTTGAAGAAGAGAATATCTAGGGGAGAAAGAATGTGGAAGAAGTTAATGGGTGGATTTTGTTTAGAGGGTAAAATTGGAAAGTCAACTACATTTATCACTTACCTTAATAATCATGCCCAGTCAAACTGGGAAGAACCTAATTGACGAGAGTAAGAATTATCTCCAGTAAGAAGAAGAATATAGCTACTTAGCTACTGAGATTTTTCTTTCATAACCCAAAAAAGAGAACTATATTACTATACTACAGAATCCCAAGTTTAGCACAAACTCCAAATAACAAGGTATGAGTTTTTTGCCCAAAAGAACCTGACCAGTGCTACCGATGTAATTTCATGAATGGACAAAGTGACTTCTTCCCAATCAAATCCCAACCAAAAACATATGTTACTCCATAATACATAACACCAAAATGCTCAGAAACCAATAGATAATTTATCATCAGCCGAAAGGCGTTCAACTGCTCACAAAATACTCTCAGGTGTACATTACCATTACTACGTAAATAGATATAACTCTCTTATGAAGAACTCCTCGATATGCATGAAAAAGAAACTTCTCAAAACCCCCAGAAAACAAGGAGTGTGAGTGGGAAATAAGGTAACATGTAGGATGTAGCCTATAATCATAATAGTTCACCTCAATGTGATATTGACATCATAAGAAAAGTACAGGCCGGGTGTCCTCTCTGCCACACTTAGCAGTGTGGTAAGCTCTGCTTTCATCCTTTTCTGACAACAGTTTAAGAAACATAAAGAGTACGTTGGAGGAACACTTTCAGAGGATTTAAAAAGAAAACAGATGGTTAAGAATATAGGTAAGCCGACCTGTTCTACAGATGAACTCTTGAGAGAATTGCTGCAAGGTAAAACTTTCAATGACGTGACTTTAAAGATAGGATGTCCCAGGTAAAAACCAACACGTTCACGTTCTCTTATAACTATTAAGTATGAACCTGAAAAGAATGAATATTACAAACAATCAAGTCGAGACAATCTCATCGTTTATCAATTTCATATCTAATATTGCATACTTCCTTTGTCCCGTAAATATTCTTAGTTTGACTTTCACAGAGTTTAAGAAAAGTGTTTGGCTGGAATTTGTTTAGAAAATAGAAATTTTGTGAGCTACATAATCTGTTTCTTAAAAGTTAAGTGATTACTTTTTGGGACAGACAAAGAAGGAAAGAGAGAAGATTTTTATGGGACAGAGGTAGTATTTCATATTACCAAGGAGAAGGGTTCCGCACTTCCGCCAAGGCAAATGGTGCGGCTGATAAGTTTATGTCTAGTGTAATGATATATTCTGAGTAAATTAGTTAGGTATCAGCTAATAAAATATAGCATCCCGGACTACTTGGATCCATTCACTTAGCTTTCCCTTTCTCTTGGTTTCTTGGTGAAATTTCTCTCTACAATCAAAACTAATTGCATCCAGAACTCAGAAGAGTTATTTACAGTATTATTCTCCATGGGAGCACTTCTATTCGTTGCAGTTCACTAAATACGATATTATAGAGCATCTATTTGTATGCAAAGCAAAAAACCATTCTGCAAAGAGTCTAGCAAGGTATACTTTTTGAGTATTAGATAATACCAACTTGCCTGCCACAAGCTTTAGCATTCCAACAACACCAAATATAGTCTGAATTTTAGGAACATGAAGAGTGCTGCCATGTTGCATTTCATCTAATGACATTAAGAAAATGCATAATTAGTTGATGGAAAGATAAGTACAACAACAATATCACTAAGTAGCAGCCGACCTAATAAACTCATAGATGCATCCTCGCGACGGATTGCCAAACACGGCCCAGAAGATCCATCCGTGGGTTCAATAACATACTGATCCGAAAATTCCCATAGCCTCATCCTTGTATATAGCTTCTGTGCAGGATCTGCCTTCTCCATCATTATTGGATCCCAATCACTGCTACATTTTTTTTAATTGTATAAACAAACCACCTCTTTAATGCCTCCCTTTAAAGTGAAGTGCAAGACAATAATCAATTACTCTAACTTACTCCGTATAAAGTAAATGGTCCAGTTACTCTACAGAATTAACAGGTAATGTTGCTTAGTCTCCGAATAAGGATGAGAGAGTATCAGGGTAAAACGATTGCAACGATTATGGCATTTGATGTGAAAACGATACTTTCTAAACCCGCTTGAGGTTGGAGAATAAACTTTCCATACTTCAGAAAAACGGCAATACATCAGGTTTCAAACTAGAACCACGGGTAGATTTTATGCATCTTACTCTTGAATAACAAACAAAAACCCTATGTTTCAGGCCTCTCTGCACCTTATAACCATTCTAGACTCATTACTAAGATAATCTGAAGATATTTTAGCTCACAAATCACCAAGATAATCTGAACATCTCCTGCTTATTCCTTTCTCATGAACTTCCACAATTTCAAAGAAACTCTAGCATCGATAATGAGTGTAAATTTGAAGGAGGCCATTGTTGCTTTTTTTTTTTTTTGAGAACAGGCCATTGTTGCTTTTGTATATATTCAAGTCACGGTACTTGGAGGAGATGACGTCGACAATGTGATAGGACTTGACGTTCATAAGGTTGTGGAATTTAGTCGTTACTCTGGCCCAAAAGTCGTCCACATTTTGCACTGGCTTGTACCTAAACGTGAAAAAAATTGTAAGCAACATTATGCATTGCATTTTGGATTGCATAATGTAAGAATTAATCTTTAATTGGGTATTCGGGAACATTCACCCATGTCATCCGCGCTACATAACCTGACCAATGGAGTCTTCATTGCGCACAACCTCTCCTTTGGATTTTCGGGTTCATTATTTTTGGACACAATGACACATGACACACTTCCCTTGTGATTTTGTAAAAATTGTTGTTCATTGTGAAATTGCAAATAATTAAGATCCATTAATATGAGAGGTGTGATTTTTTAAAAGGGACAAAGGAGTTAATTAAAGAGTTTGAAAGGATAAAAAAATTGAAAAACTTGCCGTTTAAAGACTAGTTTGAGGCAGTAGGGAAGGAGCTGTGGTGACTGTGATTATGGCTAACACGTCGCTACTACAAAATGACCAAATAATTCCCCCATTTGCATAGGTAAAACAAACGATGTAAATCGTAAAAAAATTTGCGTGCCGCTTAATTTTTGGATTGGTTATTTCTAAAAACCAATTCAAAAGGTTATTTAAATCGGCTATTAGGAATAACTGATCCAAATGCTTATTAGTACATCGTGATAGGCACCAAATAGGCACCAAATGCCTACACCAGTTGGTCTAATTGGATCTGTTGGATTTTCATTTTTGCCCGGATGCATATATAATTTTAACTTTTTTTTTCTATGTAGACGTTATTAGAGCATAAAGTAATTTGGAAAATTGGTACGACATAAATATGTACTCTATAATAATAAGGCGCATGCTACATGTACCACAACATTTTTACCCCATACACACCAAAAGTATATATATACCAACAATTTGATGGCATAATATACACTGAATCAAAGTATCGGTGCATTAACAAAAATTTGCACTGTCACAAATTGTTTATACGTTAACAAAAATATTTAACATTACACTAAGATGGGGTACAAATTCTAAGGGTACAAATTAAATAGCTTTACGGTCTACATGCATACTAGTTACAAAAATGATCTGTTTTATTTTAGAATTTAAATTATTAAATTCCACGCTATGTTTTGATTTTATGGAGCAAATTTCACGACTTATTGTACTGCTTGTGTTATACAGGATATATAATTGAAAATCTAAACTATAATTTTATCGTATACTTCAATTCGCAACATAATATGGTGTAAACAATTATGTAGGTAAGTAAATTTTATGTATGTGAAGATTAAAAAAAATGCATGGAGATTAAACATGATAGCATATAATAATATTATCATGACAAAACAAAGGGACAAACGCATGCATTTTATTTGCATTGACTAAAGAAATTGAAATAAACAAGTATGGTATAACATAATATACATATAATTCTCCACAAAAATGTGTGAATATACGTATATTATTTTTATTCATATTAAAAATAAAAATATCATAACTTATGCATGCGTTGAGCGTCCATCACCATGCACGCCACCCACCACTACCCCATGTGGCGGCATTTCTCCTTAAGCGGGTGGTGGAGGAAAGTTTAAATCTGGAACACGATAATGAGGCTCATTAAGATCGGGCAGCACGTGTGCTTCACCACCACGAGCAGGTGCTTCACTACCCACCGGAGGAGGAGGAGGCAGTAGAGCCACCGCAACAACATTTTCGCCCGCCGCCACGTCTTCGCCGCGGGCTGCAGCCATCACGTGCTGCACGTCGGCAAACTCGCTGCGGCTGAAGACCGGAGGAGGGAAAGCCCCGCGCCAACCGCGGTTGCTGTGAAGCCTCATGTGGCCGAACAACGCCTGGCGGCTCTGGAACCGCCTCTGGCACACCGAACACTGGGTGTTTGGCTGTGCCGGCACCGGCGGTGGTGGAGGAGGTGCTGCGACCACCGTCGCGGCGGCTGAGCGCTCCGTCTGAGCAATGGCGAGGCGAGACGACGGAGGGGAGGGAGGAGCGCTGCCGCCACCGGAGGTTTGGCCGACATCTCTTGTTCTCTTTTTGGTGGGGCTGGCGGCCGCCGCGGCAGGTGGAGGACTGTTGGGAGCGGAGGAAGGAGATTTGCCGGCGTTAGGCTGAGACATCGTCTTAGTATTCCTTCCTCGGCTCGTAGGAGTATGAATAATCAACAATCCGGGTGATGGTGTGCGGGTGGGAGAATGGAATGTGGCGCGGCGGTCGGAATATATAGACGGCGGTTGTAGAAAACGACGCAATGATTCGAATTTGAATTACCGTTAGTTACCATTCCAATAGGGCGGGAAGGCAGCGCGCGGGGTCTCGTGAACCGTCGCTTTCTTTGGTACCGGTGTTTCATGCATGCATGTACACGTGTGCATCATCGTATGGCGGGAAAGCAAATTTTTGATTGAACAGCGAAAAGCCCCGCAAGGTTTGGTTAACTTGCCTCTCCTTACTCAGTTATGACTTATGAGAATGTTAATTAAGTTCGGACTGTGAAGATGGATCCTCGGTAGAGGTAGCTAGCTAGCTAGTGTGCATCACAGTTTAACTTAAAACCCTTCATCTTTCATTTTTTTTTGTTTTTCTTAAAATACTTCCCCTTTCTATTAAAAAACCACTTTTACCCTTACTTTTTCATACCCTACCTATCACATCATACTTTTTCACTAACAACTAAACTATCACATCTTACTTTTACCCATCACATCAAGGGCAAAATTAGAAAGTCAACTACAATTTAACACTTTTTTATTTTCCACCAAAGTCAAAAGAGGAACTCTTTTGAGAAACGGAGGTAGTACAAGATTACGAGTAGTGTATTGGAATATACTCCCCTCCCTTTTAAAAAAAACATTTCCTCTTTAATTCTTTCACTTTCAACAAAACACTTCCATTCTATATTAAAAAATCATTTTTACCTTTAATTTTTCATATCCTACTTATCACATCATATTTTATCTCTAATAATCTATCTATCACATCCTACTTTTACCTATCACATCAAAAAAAATTGAAAATCAACTACAATTTAATACGGAGTACTTTCTAATTTTTACACAAAGTTAATTAAAAGAGGAACACTTTTTCTAAAAGGAAAGAGTATTTCTTAGAACTAGATTAGGATTATCCTACAACTTATCGAGTGGGTGGGGTGCCTTGAGTGACTAAGAGAATTAAGGACATAGCCGGCTAAAAGAAGTGATTGAAAATAGCTTTGATCTAGCATCCTAGTCAGAAATTGAAAAATTATTAGGATAATTTACTTAAATAGAATTAAAAGATAATGACTTTCTCAATATAGGATCATATGTTTTTATTTTTCAATGTAAGACCATTGGTTATTATTTATTACTCCCTCCATTTTCAAAAAGACTTCCCATTTTGATTTGGACAAAAATAAAGAAGTGTTAAATTATACTCCCTCCGTCCCGTGAAACATGGGACATTTGCTTTTTAGGAGAGATTTAATGGAGTGTATTTTGGTATTGAATTTCCAAAAATATCCTTTAACATGATGGGTAAAACTATGATTTGATGGATAGATTATTAGTAAAAAAATATGATGTGATAGTTAGGGTATGAAAAAGTAAGGGGTAAAAGTTTTTTTAATAGAAATGAAAAGTGTTTTGTGGAACGGATAAAAAAAGAAAGGGGAAAGGTTTCATCACGGGACGGAAAGAGTAGTTGATTTTCAATTTTGCCTCTGATATGATAGATAAGTAAGATGTGATGGATAGATTATTAGAGAAAAATTATGATGTGATAGGTAGGATATGAAAAAATAAGGGCAAAAATGGTTTTTTAATAGAAAGTGAAAGTGTTTTGTTGGAAGTGGAAAAAATGAAAGAGGAAGTGTTTTTGATAACGAAGGGAGTAGTCGTTATTCTACTAAATACCCAGGCCAGCATCACTTGGACATTATTCTTCTCACTAGTCATTATTAAATCTTATTTAGAAAATAAAAAATTTTAAGTCTTACATTAAGAAATGACTTATGTTTTTGTCTTATTCACTGCAAATTTCACAAATTATTATGAGACGGAGTATGTCTGATAAGTAGAAGTATGTAGTACTCCGTCACTACAAAACAAAATACGTTATTGGCACAGATTTTGGCAACAATATTAGGTATTGAATTTGGAACGAATGAAAATACCGGCCAATTTTGAAGCTCCAAAATGTATGTGCCATAGAAAGGCACGGAATTACGCATGCCTAAGCCATTACAAACTCGCGGTTTGAAGAAAAACGTCAAATTTTATAGGCGCAGATAATTCTTTGCCTTTTCAAATTTTTAAAATTTGAAAATTTATTTTTCAAAATAATAAAATTGGCCCCTTTGTCAAGGAACTTTCCGTGCCTAAATTTTTAAAAATAAAAAAAATTAAAATTTTAATTCGGCAATTATGTTAAATTTAACAATAAAAGCATCTAATATTCACACCATTATAACAGAACTAATTAATTAAAATAAAATAAAATGTCAAGTAATATTTATCACAGCCAACAAATAATAAATGTCCATACCATATGTATCTCACAAATAAAAATAATAGTTATAAATTATCATGATTTAAATAACCCTAATTAACTATTAACATCACAATTATTACAACTATGTCCTTGAGATGAATTTTGGGCAGAGATGGAAGTTGATTGAAACACGGGCATATGAGGCTTGTCAGGCATATAATAATAAAAAGCAGGGGTTAGATGTTGATTCATGAGCAGTCTCGGATGTACCATTACCATATTCGTATCTATTTTTTATCGGATATCGAATTCGAATACGGATATTGGCGGATACTAAAAATCCAACATGTATCTGCATCCATTGGATATCGGTCAGGTATCAAATATATATCCGTATCAGTTTCCAATTTTTAAACTTAAATTTAAAAATATTTTAAATTCCATTTAAATTAAAGTCAAAATATTATTCATTTATTTTTCTTATTTTTATAAGTTATAATATTCTACAACAATTTCATATGGTAAAACGATATACACAATACACATACACACACATTTTTATGTGTCTACACATATTTTTTGAATTAAAAATGTCTCAAACTGACAAGTGACGTACATTATAACAACTGATAATTGACATTATGACACATATACATTCTCTAATGATCTATCATTATGCATCTAACTAATCCATTTTTTAATAATATTTTATTAATTCAAACCATTTCTATTAGTACTTAATTCAATGGCCATTAATTTTGTACTCCATATAATGTTTTTGTTTTTAAATTAACATACCAATATATATTTTACCAGTCTAAAACATACTCCCTCCGTCCCGAAAAGTCTTTCTCCTTTGGTTTTTTTTGTCCCAAAAAGTGTTTCACTTTTCACATTTTTGGACCCTAATACCCTTTACCCTAATTAAAGCTACCCAACCCACCCAAACCCCTCCACCTACCTTATCCATCAATTCACTCCACCTCACCCACTCATTTTGATGGGCAAGTACATTCTACATTCTTCTCTTTATTAGATTAGGGTTGGGGGGTAAATTTTTCTAGTCAATGACAAAAATTTGGCCTCTTAAATTGGTTGAAAGTCAAAACAGGAAAAGGAAAAAGGGACGGAGGGAGTACATATTTTAATTTTTCACTATTTGAAAACTAAAACAACTAAAATTATATTTATAGAATCTCAAATGTTTAGTATATATACGAGCCCGTGCGAATCACGGGTAAACACTAGTATTTTGATAATTTACACTAAAGATAAAGAAGGTCACCTACAGAAAGCCAGGTGAACTAGGAGAGCAAAACCCTACTTGATATTGAGTAAAAAAAACTAATACAATCAAGAATGAATGAATAGAATGATGATACATAACAAATACCCTCATCTGGCCATTAATTTAATTAGTTACTATTTAGTTTTTGTATATCATTAATTTTGATTTTTTACCGTCAATTAGAATCAATCTTTGACCTAGCAATTAAGATCGATCTTTGATCTATAAGTAAATAAGAATTAGACGGTATATTATTGAATCGATATATACTATAGTCCTACCTCGCGCTATGTTAGTGGCGAATCCAGAAATCACAAGGACATGAGGCGAGACTATTGCGAGGGTTTCGGTGTAGCGTTTCAGTTTCTTCTTCAAAATAGTAATGTGAAATTTTTAAGAAATATGTGCACTAAATAGAACTAAAACTTAAGTCATTTATGTAAATAACATTTAAATTGTTTTATTATCTAGATAGCACTTAATAATGTTCATAATGTCCAGTGATGATAAATAATTACTTAAATAATGACTAATGCATAATGACTAAAAGTGATGCTATATTGGGAAGAAAAACGATGTTATTAAGGAAAAGTCATTATGTTTTAATGTTATTTAAATAAATTCCTCAATTTTAAATTAGGGTATACTATGGACAATTTTTAAATTCGGGGCATAAATATTTTATATCAAGGTCTAATACTCGTATAAGTTTTTTACTCCCTTCGTCCTCTTAAGATGTTTTCATTTTGACTTTTGTTGGTTTTAATTAAGAGGAGTTGAAAAGGTAAAAATTTACCATAATACTCTTAATGAAAATGGGTGAAGTGTATTAAACAAGGTAGGTGAGGTGTACTAAATAAAATAAAATGGGGTAGTTGTAATATTTTAATTATTAAAAAATAAAATAAGAAGATCTATACAAATAAAAAGGAATATTGAAAATATTGAGTAAATTCCATAATTAGTCCTTTATAACAGAGAGGTTTCCATATTTAGTCCTCTATTATCAAATATTACCATCATGGTCTTTTTTAAGGGTGCCTTTCACAAATGGTCCCTTTTTTTATCTTCCGCCATGTGGATGTTAATTTAAAGGCTAAAAGTATAATTTGACATCAACATGATGTCTAGTGACGTGTTCTGATATTAGTTAAGCGGATAACACAAAAATAATGACTATGATTGTGAGCTAGGATTCCAACGGAGACCACATATGCAGACTATGGTTGTAGTAGAAAGTGACTGTAATTCACAAACGGTGCAAATTGAACAACCTTTGGAATTGTGTATGACAAAAAAGATATATTATCGTTGTGAAATTACATTTTTAGCCCTCAAATTAACTCCAACATGATTGAAGATCAAAAAAAAGACTATTTGTGGAAAGATACTCATAAAAGAAGGACCACTAGGGTAATATTTGATGATACTGGACTAAATAGGGAACCCTCTTTTATAAAGGACTAATTAGAGAATTTACTCGAA